GTCTTCTTGTTTTTAATTTTCTCCTTTTCATTTGTTTTGCAGGTGGCAGTACTAGCTGGAGATTTTCTACTTTCACGAGCTTGTGTAGCCCTTGCTTCTTTGAAAAACACAGAAGTAAGAATACGTTAATGTTGTACATCTAAGCATGCAAACCTAAAATTTAACCATAATCCTTTCTCTATTTAAGCAATGATATCGAGTCTTTCCACCCCTCTAGGTTTCTTTCAACTTTAGTTGCAAGCTCATAAGCTCCACAAAAGTAATCATTTGTCTTCAAACTTGTTCCTAATTGTAAAAATGGTGGTGAAAAAGCCTTGGGGATGAGTAGCATAATGGATTGTCAAGTTTTAACCTTTGTCTTCCAATCCCTTTTAATAATTTTTCATTTTGGATTTAACTGAATAACATTATTTTGGTGTCAAATTCATCATTTGTCAGTTCATTGGTCCATGCATCTCCATGTCCCATGATTAATGAGATGTGTTAGTATTAGTAAAGCGCCATGATAAGGACACAATGATATTTGTGCGTGTGGCTGTTGGGTAGTGGGGGTGGGGGTGAAGGTGGGGAGAGAGATTTGCCTCATATTTGCTCAGCACTACTGTTACCTGCCTGTAGGTTGTTACATTACTAGCGACAGTTGTAGAGCATCTTGTTACTGGTGAAACTATGCAGATGACTTCAACATCTGAGCAACGTTGTAGGTATGCTGCTTTGCTTTGACTTTTCATAAATAATTTGCATTTATTTGATTGGGACGGAGAATTAAATTTGTATGACATCATGAACTCTCTATAAAGGTTTTTTTTGCTGAATACCTGCCTTCTGATAGCCATTGTTGCTCCATTTTGTTTCTCACCATGCATCTCCTTTCCATTGCCTTGTAGTGTTTCACCACCCACGCACCGCCCCCCCTGATGGTCATAGAAAACTTTTATCTGGCTTGCCTAATCATGGATGGGTGGTTGCAATTTTCCTTTGAAAACAATGATCCAAACATGTACATACCGTTTGTTTATTGTTCTAGAGATCATTTACTTTGTAATGGAAGGGATAAGACAGGCCACAACAGCTTGGTAGATTTTTTGTTTCCCCCCTATATCAGTTCTTTTCACCAAGTGGTTCCAATTTCTAATATCAGTTGTTTCTGATTGTTTATTATAATCTATTGCTTTCTCCATGCATCTCCCTTTCACCACAAGTGGTTTTGGTTCTACCTGGAATTGCAATCTATAATGAAACCTATTGTGTGTTGAAGCACCTGAAGTACTTGTTTTGGCCTGTTTATGGTGTTAAAAAGGTGAAATGGTCCCATGTAGTCTAATGACCATGGATGCTTTTATTTACTTTGCATGAAGGGTTCTAAAAAGATGCACTTGCATGTGAATTGGCTGGATGATTGGTAGGCTGCGGCACTTTTTTTTACTTTTCTGTATATGATCAAACCTATCTAGGCAATGGCATGCTATTACTGTATTGATGAGACCTTGATTTGCAATTACGCCTCGATGCTCTTCTGTTTTTTTTTTTTTTTTTTTGGCTTAGTTGACTTAAAAGGTGTTGCTATTGCAGCATGGAGTATTATATGCAAAAGACGTACTACAAGACGGCATCTTTGATTTCAAATAGCTGCAAGGCAATTGCCCTTCTTGCAGGGCAAACAACAGAAGTTGCAATGTTGGCTTTTGAGTACGGCAAAAATCTGGTATGCGAATTTTTTTTCCTGTTGTGTGGATGGGGGCTCTCTTATTTGTTCTAGGTTGTGTTTTAGTTGGTGTGGACAAATTGATGGATACCCAACCTGTCTATGGCTGTTCCTTTTCCTATATTTTAACTGTTTTCTTTTCCAGGGATTGGCATATCAATTGATTGATGATGTACTCGATTTCACAGGCACTTCTGCTTCCCTTGGAAAGGGTTCATTATCTGACATTCGCCATGTAATTATTCTATCCCTAATATGATATCCAATGGCTGGAGATGATAATTGTTGTTAGCTTGAACTGGTTGTGATTGAACAACCTCATTAGATAGTTAACAAGTTTGCATTATTTTCCTTAAAAGATATATATATTTTGCCAACTGGCTTAACAGCACTTTGCTTCTTAATTAATCATGGTATATTTTTCCCTTTGCAACATTGTTTTATAGTTTAGACCAAATTTTGAATTAGTTTGAGACTTTGTTCTCAAATAAGATTGAGAACAGGCAATCTTGATTCAATTATCTCCTTATGTAAATGCAAGCAAGAAATGACTGGTTCTCATTTTTATTGTGACACTCATTGTACAATGACAGGAAAGGTTAAATGTTAAACTATTTCAAACAAAGCTGAAGCATTTTGTTTGATACCATTCAGTCTTTTATTATCACGGAGTTGGATAAATGTTAACTATTCCGGAAAGGTTATGCATAATCAGGGCTGTAGATTTTCCACCTGTCAACTTCTTGGGCTTATGGCACTGTCCCTGGGACCAAATGACATAATGGTGGCTAAATTTCTGGTTGTCACTTGGTTCAAAAATCCATAGCTATCTTTATTAGCTTTGACACTAAAACCATGCTTGTATCTTGCACTGGATTGATATGAGCTATTTGTACTAGCATGATGTAGAATAGTGTATAGCATTTGATATCAATGAACCGCTCTTACATTTTAAAGTCCCTACATTTTTCAGTTTCATTTCATTTGTGACTTGAAGACAACTTCCAACGTTCTTTCTGATTCTTACATTTTGAGTTGCGCATCAGAGCTAATTTTCATAATCTCATGTTTAACAATATGACATTTTATTCAGGGAATTATAACAGCTCCATTGTTGTTTGCCATGGAGGAGTTCCCTCAGTTGCGTTCGGTTATTGACTGGGGCTTTGACAAGCCTGAAAACATTGATGTAGTAAGTTCATCTTCATTTTCTTTGATGAAAACATTGATGTAGTAAGTTCATCTTCATTTTCTTTGAACACAACCTTGGAAATATTTTGATAAAGCTGAAGCTACTGCAGAGAATTGCGAAGTCTACATTTTTCTCATGGTTTTTCTGTGCATCAATTCTGTGATGGGCCTAACATTCTTGCTTAATATCACTGGGCAACAAAAAAGCCTACATTGCATGCCTTTCTGTCGTCAATCAGATGACTCTGCAACTTAATGATTCTGGTGTGGAGACTATGAATTTTAGTTTAGTGGACTTTAGCTTTGGCTTTCAATAATATGAAATTTTGGAGAATGCTTAGTATTTTTACTTATTCGAAATATTTTTAATGATTTGGAAATCCTTTTTGAATAAAAAAAATTGATCAAAATGGACATTAGTTTATAATTTGGCCCTATGGGAGGTGATTGCTATTGGGCATACCCATTTTCCATGGAGCATGATATGTTCATCCCACCATTTCTATTTATTCAAACTGCATTGCTTTCTGATGTCTTCTTTACGTTGGACTGAGGAACTTGCTTCCATCTAATCCCCATTCCTTTCACTCCTTTGTTCATGTTTTACATGGACTTTTGATTCCAATCCATAGGCAAGTAATAATGTGAATAAGCTTTCTTCTTGGTCTGGAGTTTGATGCTCTGATCGTTTCTACTTTTTGTCTATCGGTCATCAGTTTTTCTTTCTTTCTTTCTCATAGAAATTAATGTTAATTTATCCGAGTGTCCTGTCTATGGATTCAGGCCCTTGAGTACCTTGGGAAGAGCCATGGAATACAGAGAACGAGGGAGCTAGCTGCAAAGCATGCGAGCCTGGCTGCAGCAGCAATTGATTCTTTACCTGAAACTGATGATGAAGAAGTAAGAAAATCACGGAGGGCACTAGTTGATCTTGCTCAAAGAGTAATCACAAGAAATAAATGACAGAATATGAATTCTAGCAACATAAATAAATTACAATTTGAATTCTAGCAACAGTGTCCTAGATTTGTGCTTGTTTTTCATTTTATTGTTCCTGCATTTGAGGGCCAATCTGCCCTCCTGTTCCACATTAATTTATTCAATTACTTAAATTTTAGTTACATAATATTTGTTTCAACAACCGGGTTCTTGTGAATTCTACTCCGTACAGTAGAAAGACAGTTACAGAAAGATGGATAGGAGTTGCAATTAGCATTCCCTGGTGGGATGTTGCTGCTTTAATCCATGATAATTTTTCAATGAGATAAAATTTCTTTAGTACTCTGGCAGGACACTATTGTTTTGTGGAAAATATCTTGTACCATGTATTCTCACAATAGACTTGAAGAAAAGTTCCTCAAGTAGCTACAAGGACGATGAACAATTTCAGAGTGTTCCTAAAGTGGGATTAAATTTCAATTGGAAGGTGATCTCTTAGGAGCGAACAAGTGAGAAATTCCCTGAAAAGTTGAGCAGATATAAACCTGGTATAACCAGTGCAATTTGGTGGAGTCAATACCTAGGTTTGTGATCCCAGAATTAGTTTACAAAGGTGCAAGAGTTCAATGGCTTTACAATCAAATGATTCAGATCTTATTCTCAGTTTTGAGAAGTACTGGTGCTGATGCCAATATTCCTTTTACAGAACAGTAGTTGATCGGATTGCAGGTTGTAGATTTAAAGATATTCAATAGATTTTAGGAACGATAATCAATCAATATGAGGGAATCAGTCTTTAATCTCCCATTCTGACCAATATCTTCTTCAAATAGCAATCTGCCATCAGGCCATCCATCGATCCATCCTGAGAAAAACTTGTATCAATACCACTGGTTTTAATGCAGAACCTTGTTGCCAAGATGCAACGATTTTAGGAAGCACATTTGCGAAGGTGGGAGAGATTGCTAGCATTGGCAATTCTGCACGAGGCACTCTACGCAAAAGCATTTGCTACTTCATTTTCTTTGTTGTACATGTATTTATACACACACATCATCACCCTCTCGATTTCACGAGCCAAGTTAGTCTGAGTAGAAGTATGGAGTGTTTGCTCAAGTAAGTGCTTAAGATTGACGTTTAGTTTTAAGTGCTCAAGTGCTCAAGATACACCAAAATTACGGAAAACATTGGAGAAGTGACAGAGAACGGTCACCAAACATCAAAAGACCTGCAAGTCTTCGTTATAGCTCTTAAAAATTTGAACGTTCCTATTGGAAACCAGAAAATTACATGGATGTGATGTCGCATCCCTTGCTTGCAGATCTACTAAGACGTAATGCAAGAAACGCCCCTCAAAAATTTTCCGGGAGAAGATAGCTAAAATAGATCAATCCTTAACATCAATTACGCCTTTAGCAGAGATCTGGAACCACGCTTCAGCTTCGGCTAAACAAGGAGAACTTATTGCTTTACAGATGGGCTCCTCCTCTCTTCCTTCCAAAGAGCAAGCCAGTGACAATTATACTAAGAATTTTCAAGTACGAAACCTTCACACTTGAGAGGAGAATTGGAGGGAATTACCGGCCTTCATGTAGAAGCATGAGCAAAGATGTTAACGCCAATAGGCTTGATTTGAAGTCCAGCGAAAATAGCAGAACCTGCAACTACTTGGTTTGTGATGACAACTGCCACACCGAACTACACCAACAAAATGCGCAGGAAAATTTACATTTCTAATTGAATAGTCTATTTGGAGCATGTCTACAGCATTCGCATATACTGGAATAACAAGAGAGGGTAAATCCAGAAAGTCATATCGCCTAAAAGAATCGTGGACCCAGTAATTCAATGATGTAAGCAGACAGTCATAAATGAAGAGAGCTAGTTAAAAAAGATAAAGGTGTCATTCTGGCTCATCTGCTAACTTCTGAAGGCTCCCATGGAACTTTGATTGATGCACCTGCCGAGCTGAAAGTTCTCCCCTTCCAGAAAAATCTGTTCTGTATAGAGCAGAACTGCCAACAATCATAAGAGCAAACCTATAGAGCCACAATCCATTGACATAATTAGATTTAACTGCAAATCAAGACGGAAAAAATAAATAAATACTAAATGCTTTATTAGATGTTCTTCAATTATTGAAGTAACACTGGAAGAACTTTTACTATCTATGGAATCCCAGCTACAGATTTTCAAAGCTACAAAATGTTATTCGTATACATGGATGTGAAATAGGTTCCATTACTTAATTTTAATCAATCCTCCTAGTGAAAGTTCTCAGGGAATCATATCAGCAGCAGAAGAGCCACTTGTTCTCATAATCTCAGTCCCGCCAGGATTTCTTGATCCTGAGTGACAGTGGCCATGTAGAGTCACCCATACATTAGACAACAACGACAATATGTACCTTGTTTCCATCATCATTGAAGCTGCTTCAAGCAAAAGCCTAGATTGATGATCAGTGTTGTATGCCCGAGCAAAAGCCACATTCTCCAAGACATCAACGTCATTCAGCCCAAAGCTGCAAGGTTTAAAACCTTTAACCATTTGACAACAAGCTGGCTAGAGCAGTTCTTCTTCTCTAGGTAGCTGTAAGACACCTGTCAGCTATCTGTAAGAGTCTATGGGGTCTGAACGCGTCCTCTGCATCTATGGGAATTGCTTTTCCCTCCCCACCTCCTTGATCCAATCGAAGCTGAAATAAAAGAGTGAATTAGATGAAGAGGTCTTCAATAGATTGCATCACTAGGTTGATGAATTTAGCTAACATAAATATTGAAAGCATTCCATAGATAGTAAGCTGGCGTACACGACAAGATAAGAGACCCGATTCATCTGGTGTGAAACCAAACAAGTAGACAAGGCACCTTGAAAAGACATTTTGCTATGCGCTGATTTGTATGGTTATTCTTATTCAGTCCATAAATATTTTCTTCAACTTTTAAAGCAACAGAAGACGCAAAACTGAAGAATGGAATTAAACTTGTCTCTCTTATTGCAAAGCTATTCACAAATAAAAAAATGTTCTTACTTAGCAAGTGACGCAAAGGGTGTGGCACAGCTGAGTTTTTCCAGAGCGGAACTCACCATGTATCTCAGTAATAGATCCTGTCTCAAACCCTCCTGTCAAAAGCTAGCTGTTTGAGGTTACAACACTACAGGACACGGCAAGTGTTAATGTTCTTAAGAAGCATTGCCACAGAAACACGGTCTAATGTAAAAGGATCGTTGTTAAGAGTTGAAAGAAATCTTTGATACTTGCCTTCTAAAATTTTGTCAAGTTCTCTTTATCCAGATGTTATCTGAATTATCTCTTGCCTCCGAGTATGGAGTTGGCTCGGACTAGCGAAACCCAGAGGCACCAGTTTGGAAGCTGTAGATATGAGCCGAAGTAAAGTTATGAGTCTCTATCTAAACTATGAAAAATATCAGACAAAAAAATCTTGAAGAAACAAAAACAGGCCAAGCAATGACATGCCTGCTTCAATGATTTTGTCAACTTTAGCTTCGCTGATTCCTTTAATCGGCTCTTTACTGGGAGAAAAGGCAAAACAATTTATATATTTTTTAATATTTTATTGATTTTTAATTGTGAAATTGTTTACTGTGATATCAAAAAATTTGATATTTAGTTATTGTTTAATTTTATAAGTATTTATTTTTTTATTATATAATTAAATAAAAAATTAAAACAAAAAATTATTAAATCTAATGAAGTTAGATTATAGATATATCTACTTAGAAATTAAGTTTTATTTATTTATTTTGATTATAAAAATAATTATTAATTTATTTAATTAAATGTAGATATAAATTTTAAAATTTATAATTGATATTTTTTATTAAAAAAACATAAAGCTATTAAATTCATTTTTTTTATGAGAATTTGTTTTTACCCGACCCACAATAAAATACATGTTAAACAGCTAATGTTTCTCTAGAAAAGGTTTGGTTACTACTAAGAAATGGATCTATAAAAACCTTTTTGCAAGAGAGATAGGATGTTTTTATTTTTGTGTGTTTAAATTGGTTTGGTTACTATTAATATTTTTTAAGTTATTTTTTATAATTTTAATATTTTGATATTAAAAATAAAAAATATACAAAAAAATTACTTAAAAATATCTTTACAAGAATACTATGCATTGCAAAACATACACTTAACCTATGAAGTTCTGTGCATTCAAGGATAATTTTTTTCTGTACTAATTAGACTTCGCTTTCTTTATTATTTATTTTAGCATCGCAAGTTTTTTTTTAAAAAATCATTGAAAAAGTTCTATCTGCTAAAAAAATATTTCTTTCTTTTTTGGTGTGATATATAGCAATAAAAATAAACCAGCTGGCGAGTCTGGTTTCTTACCGAACCGACAGCACCGAATCGGTTTGATTTTCGGTTTAAACCGAAAATGGCTCCCTACTTCGTATAAAAGCGGCGTCGTTTTAGTTTGTCTCTCCGTTACGCCCATTATACCGTCGGTGAGTGAACTCGTTATACTGACGAGGCAGACCTCTCTCTCTCTCTCAGTTTTCGAAAACCAGGTTGAAAGACATGGCAAACAGAGCGAGTCCTCCAAATCTCCACAAATCAGTTGCCATCTCTAAAGGATACAACTTCGCTTCTACTTGGGAACAGGTTTCTTTCTTTCAATGTTTTTTTTTTTTTAATGCACTCTTAAATCATTAGATCTGGTTTTATCAATCTCGCCAACTGACTCTCTTTCACATCCACAACTCATTCTTTGATTCGATTCACATTCCACCGCTAGCTAGCTAGCTTGTTGTAATCTATTCTTTTATTTGTCAATTGCGGCTTGATTTTTGTGATAAACAGAATGCGCCTTTAACTGAGCAACAACACGAAGCAATTGTGTCGCTCTCTCATGCAGTTTCCGAGCGACCCTACCCTAACAATTTGGTGAGATTTCAATTTTTTTAAGACACAAATAAAAATGTAGGTTATGTGACATTATAGGTTTTGTGGTTTTTTAGGCGCAAGATCATGCCTCTGTGAAGGAGAATGGTGGCTTGGCAGTTTCTACAAGGGACAGCAGTTTTGGTGAATCTCAAGGCATTGATGCAGTTTTAGTCAATACAAACCAGGTAAAGCACACCCACTTTTGCTTATATTTACGTGACAGGTTACTTGGGATAATGGTATAAGTCAGTGCTTATAGTGTAGCTTGATAATGATTTGAATTTTATATGGTGCAGTTTTATAAATGGTTTACTGATCTTGAATCGGCAATGAAATCAGAGGTTAGTTGTCGTGGTGATTGTTCTTGTGCAAATATGTTCGGTCATGGGTTTTTTTTTTCCTTTTTTATCCTGGTGCTTTCTGTTATTAGGCGGAGGAGAAGTACCAGCACTATGTCAACAATCTAACGGAGCACATGGAGACATGTGATGATATACTTCTCCAGGTACTTGTTTGTTTTATTGTTCATTTCTTGATGATTTTATGTTGTTGATAAATTCTTGAATTCTTTGGATGAAGTCAATTTTTTTATTTTTTTTAAATTTAACAAACTGAGCTTATCTGAATGCAGGTGGATGAAACTCTCGACTTCTTTAATGAGTTACAGCTGCAGCACCAAGCTGTTGCTACAAAGACTAAGACTCTTCATGATGCTTGTGACAGACTGGTGTGATTTCTCTTTCTTCTATTCACTGCTTTATACTTATTCTAGAATGAGCTTTGGTTTGGTTCTGTAAATCACAGAATACAGTTGCACAAATATCAGAATTTTAATTTATGTCAGTTTTGACTGGATGAGCTTGGTGACCCTCAACCTTGTAGAATTAACACACTGCTTTACTTGAACTAGAATTTCAGATGAATATGCTCTAATGTCATATGATTATTCTATAGCCCTGTTGTTATATTTTGAGTTTCATGGAAGGAACAATCAAGTTAAGCTGTAGTTTATATCCAATTTATTTTATGTCAACATTGAATGTTTTGGGATCTCAAATTTTAGGTAGGTTGTTTCATAAACTTAAATCTGAAAACTGTGCCTCAGAGTATTTTAGATAGTAATGCTTATGTTAGTTTAAATTGGTTGAGTTGGTTGTGTCATGTATTGTTTCCATTGCAGGTAGTAGAGAAGCAAAGACTGATTGAATTTGCAGAAGCAGTTCACAGTAAGCTCCACTACTTTGATGAATTGGAGAATGTAAGGTTTGAATGCTACCTCACTTATAGTTTCAGTTGCTTAAAATGTTATGTTTTTTCATTATTTTCAATTAAATCATAATTGTTTTAGGTAGGTGAAGAGAATAAGTCTTGTCCATTTAAAAAAAGAAAAGGACTTGAAAATCAATATAATAGAGCACTGGCTATCTAGTTTGTCTATAATGCTTCGCGTGTTAGTATTTTACTCTGCTTCCATTTTAAGAGTTCTCTTAATAGCTTGCAATTTTTGTTTGTCCATGTTTGAGAAGGTTTCATGAAGTATTGCAATTTATATCAATAGTATTGATGGAGTGTAATTTGCATTTGTGTGCAGCTTAATAACAATTTTTATGCTTCAAATACGAATGTTGGAAATGAGAAATTTCTTCCACTGCTCAAAAGGCTTGATGAGTGCATATCGTAAGTGAACAAATATTTTTATTACTGTATAAATTAACACCTCTAACATTACTTAGCTAAACACTGTAAGTTCATAAGCAATATTGAATTTTTTTGGGTGGGGACAGTATTGTACTCTGTTTTATCTACTTATCACTTGTTTTTTGCACACCTTTAGATATGTCGAAAGCAATCCACAATACGCAGAATCCAATGTTTATCTGCTTAAATTTCGACAGCTCCAGGTAAGTGATTGATTCCAGCAATGTAAAAAGATTGATTTTGTGAATGGAAAATGTAAGCGTGTAAGGTTTGTTACCTGCTCCAAATGATGACAAAGTTTTCGTGCTTTTAACAGTCTCGAGCCCTGGGCATGATTCGAACTCATGTGCTTTCTGTCCTGAAAAATGCTTCATCTCAGGTGAAGTATCCTTATTTACATCAAAATATCTTCATGTGTGTGCACACATGTTTTTCCATAAACATGAATCTCTGTGACTTTGTTGTTTATTTGTGGACTTCATCAGGTTCAGCATGCAATCCGGAGCACTGGAGGCAGCAAAACATCTATTTCTGAGGGTGTAGAGGCATCTGTAATCTATGTCAGATTCAAAGCAGCCTCAACTGAGGTAGTAGCATCTTTCTCTTTGTTCTTTTATCTTGACACGAAGATGTGATGCATGTAGAATGTTTGACTACTGATAACTTAACCAAGCAGTAGGCTGATTTTTAAATAACTTGTGAAAAAATTATATTCTACATGTGGAATAGGATTTTACATTCTTTGATTTGATCTAATGTTTTGCACTAGCAGCTGACAATTCTAAGTTTCTGTAGCTTAAGCCCATATTGGAGGAAATCGAAAGCAGATCATCAAGAAAGGAATATGCCCAGATCCTTGCTGATTGCCACAAGTTGTACTGTGAACAGCGGCTTTCCTTGGTGAGTTAATTTTCAGTTGTTTCTCACACATTGATTTTCTTACTCTTATTCACCTGCTGGTTGTGATGGTACTTTCTCTTTGTTTTCTGCTATCTAGGTAAAAGGGATTGTACATCAGAGGATATCCGAATTTGCCAAGAAAGAGGCTTTGCCATCATTAACTAGATCTGGTTGTGCATATTTGATGCTGGTAGTGCACTTAACGAATATTGGTATCAGTAAACAGAGATAGTTGTGGGTCCTGGATCATCTGGTTGATTGAATAGCATTTAAAACTTTGCATCTTGGCATGTATTAGTTGGGTTGGATTCATTCAGTGGTTTGTGAGTGTTGAAGTCAGTGATCATGTTAAATTTTTGTGCTGATATAGCACCATTAATTTGTTACACATGAAAGAAAAAGTTTGCAGCCAAAACACAGGAGGCTTCTGCAGGGAAGTGGATGTAAATAGGCCTTAGCTTCCTTTCTTTTTCTTCATATTAATTGCAACTTCTGAATGTTGATTGAAGCAAGGTTACTCTTGTTTAATGCTTAGTTCTAGGTTGCACGTTGAGCTACCTATTTTTTGGTATATATAATTTTATTTTATTTTGTCGATACAGGTGTTAGATATTAATATTGTTTAGTAGTCTCTCCATGAAAATTTAAGTTTTAGGTCTATTAGTTCTTAAATAAAGTAGAGTAGCTTTTATGATCATGTGGCCTGCATCCAGGAGTGCATATGTGAAGCCCAAACAGGTTTGCACATAAGGGGGCTTCTTAAGATGTTAATATCATTTAACAACCAAAGCTCTAATGTGATTGCCCTCCAATGGCATGCAAATTTAAATACTTCTAGGTCATGCCATTCAAAACTTTTTTTCCTTGTGTTTTGGGAAGTCTTAAAATTTATTTTTTGCAATGAACGATAGATTTGAGCCATTTTGTTGACTCAACTCAGCTCACCTTAATTTGACCATAATTCCAACTGAAGTTCCA